CTTATATTATTGACAATCCCAAACACTTTCAGTTATTAAATTTACCATATTAAAACTTAAAACCAAGAAAAAATTGAAATACTTATTGGCATGTATATTATGTTAAAATAAATAATTCTCAGTATAATAATGAAAACTGTTTTACCTCAGAGATCCTACGAGAAGGTCTTAGGGGACCCAGGGAACACTCATTTTGTCCTAAACTGAAGTGTCAGTTTACTCCACAAAATAACTTACAGCTATTTTCAGTAATTACAGTATTAAAGTTTATTCTTTCTTTTCCTTAATCAGCTTATATAGCAGAGACTGTGCTGACTTTATTATGTTTTTTGGTTATTTAAAGGAAAAAAAAGCAGCAAAAGTACTATATTTATGAAAGAGCTATGGTTCTTAACAATCATGTTACCTTCTATATTTAAAGGTTTTATTGTCATTTAATTAAACTGGCAACCAAGTACTGTTTCTCAGCCACCAATGATCCTACACTAATCCAATGTTCAACTCTCCTCTGACAACTCTTGATTCTGCCTTTCTAAAAATGAACCATAAATTAAGAAAAAAAAATCCATCTAAACTATCATTGTGATTTCTCAGAAAACACCAGGAAAAGCACAAAAGTTTGTTATCTCACCTTAAAAAATAAAAGAGAGGCTAAAAATAATTAGGCTTGTTTGATGTGTTACTATTTTTAAGAGTTGAATGGCAACAGTTGTCAAGTCAGAACAGATATTAAACTTCCTCTAGGTTAAAAAGCATAGGTAAGATGTAGACTTTATGGAAATACTTTCAAAATGTATACCTTCTGGGAAGTCCCTGGAGATGTATAAATGCCCTACAGGAGAAACACTGACTAAAATACTTAGGAAATAACTCTCTAGAGTTTTTCTATATTGATCAGAGGGCTAGAGGCACAGTGCCTAATACAACAGCATAGTGTTGCCAATCATAATTTCACTTATTATTTAAAATGTTTATATGTAGGGGTGCCTGAGTGGCTCAGTCAGTTGACGCTCCAACTCCTGATTTCAGCTCAGGTCTTGATCCCAGGGTCGTGGGATTGAGCCCTGCATGGGACTCTGCACTGAGTGTGGATGGAGCCTGCCTAAGAATCTCTCTCCCCCCACTCTGCCCCTCTCCCCTGGCGCACGTGCTCTTTCTCGAGGGCACTTGTCGGGATGACCATTGCGTATTGTATGTAAGCCAGTTGGACAATAAATTATATTTATTAAATAAGTAAGTATATATAAAATAATTTTTTAATCAAAAGAAATAGTTCACTTCTTAATTTTAATATAGCACCTTCTAGGCTAGTGGTTCTCAAATGGGATGTACACCAGACTCGCATGTGGCATTCTGTATAAATACAGAAAAGCAGATCCTATTTGCACTTACTCAATCTTTTTACCAGATGTTCTTGGTATGAAAAATTAGACCCAACCCATTTTTATAAATCAGATGTAACATTTACATAGTTCTTTGAAAATAGGCTTATCATTATCATTAGAGACATTTCATTAGAGACATCATCATTTAGACATTCATCTAAAATTTCTTAGAAATGACTTTATTACCTTTATTTTGCAATGCCACAGAAACAACCAAATTTCCTTACTACTAGCATTATTCTTATTATAAACCCTCATTAAATCTTTCATTTTCAATAATGATCACTAATAAATTAACCAGGATCATTAAGTCTTTGTTAACTATATGGTTTTGTTTTCTCTTGATACTTTCCCAAAGGCTATACTATAAGCCAGATAGCAGAGTTTGTATATTTGTGCCTCTATCAAGCACTTCTAACTACTGATATTAAAAAAAATAGTCTAGGGTAGAAGGTTCTAAGTTGACATTGTTTTAATAACTTTTAGACCCTATCACTGGACAAGCAGAATTTACAGGACTAGTTCAGAAGCAGAAAGAATCATGAAAGTCTAACAGATGCAATGGAACAAGAATTACATGAAAAATCAGGGGAAACTTTAGAAGATAGGAACTCACTTAAGCTGCTATGTATTACAGTTGTAATATGACTCAGAGAGTTTCCCAGACTTAATTTCCTATCTAAGCAAATAATGGAGGCTTTTAAAAGTTCAATGTCAGATTTCTTATGAAAACTTCCAGATAGAAGTTAATTTTGTGATCTTATTATTCAATATCGTTTGGCTCTTGATGTGCAAAACAAACTCAAAGAGGCCTATATTGTTAATAGTCTTGCTGCATCTATGCAAATAAGCCTAACAGAATGAGACCAGCCTTTCTGTGACCAAGAATAATCTCTGAGATTGTTGTGATCATGAGAGGATATAGCTGTCAGGAAAAACTGTGAAAGACTTTGAAATAACCAAGAAAAATTACCATCTAGCACACCCTTCATGGTTATGTGACTTTTACTCTATTTTTTCTGTTATACCTCTATTGCAACTGATAGCAATGCAAATGATTTTTATCAATAAAAATAAAAATGAAGTTGCCCCTCAAATGTAACTGATTACTGCTTTGTGGATATTGACCAGTTTCACATTTTTTTGTAAATTTATTTGGGCTTTCCTAATATCCTACACATACGTGTTCTTTGAATTGCTCAAAGTAGCTATAACATCTTACTAGTTCTCCTAATAATTAATGAGCTCAATAAAATGTTTGATACATGTTCAACTAAAATTAAATTATGAGGGGACCTAGGTGGCTTAGTCGGTTAACCATCTGTCTCCTGATTTCGGCTCAGGTCATGATCTCATGGTTCATGAGATCAAGCCCCGCACAGGGCTTTGCATTGAAAGTGCTGTCTCTTACTCTCTCTCTCAAAATAAATACACATTTAAAAAATTAAATTATGAAAAAGGCAGCTGGTTATACTACTATAAAATAATTATACCTATACATTTTAAAGGCACAGGGGAGGGGCGCCTGGATGGCGCAGTTGGTTAAGCGTCCGACTTCAGCCAGGTCACGATCTCGCGGTCCGTGAGTTCGAGCCCCGCGTCAGGCTCTGGGCTGATGGCTCGGAGCCTGGAGCCTGTTTCCGATTCTGTGTCTCCCTCTCTCTCTGCCCCTCCCCCGTTCATGCTCTGACTCTCTCTGTCCCAAAAATAAATAAACGTTGAAAAAAAAAAAAAATTTAAAGGCACAGGGGATAGGCTAGCAGATTTACCTTAAAAAGTAGAAAAAAAATTATATGAACAAATATATGTAAAACTTGAGGATATACTGAATGGATATTCCATGCAGATTAAAAAAAATACATACATACATAAATTATCAAAACAATTAACTCTAAACTGCAGAACATTTAACAGTTTAAATAATACAGAAGTATACAATAGTGCTCATACAGTGACTTCAAAGATTTCTCAAAGGCAAACCAGCACTTCTGAAAACTCTCATTAGAATTATTCTCAAATAATCTTTATTGCACAAATTCATATATAAAAAATCTTAAGGTTTTATAAATCTTAACATTTATACTAAAAATGTTCTAACTTCAGCAAAACTACATATTGTTTATCTCTTCTGCATATGGAACTTCAATTTATACCTGACAAGTTACTTGACCTCTCTGTATTTCAGTGTCCTCAATGTTAAAATGCGGTTAACAAAACTTACTTCAGAAAGTTGTTTTGAGCATTAAATGAGTTAATACACGTAAAACAGTCAGAATAGTATGTGGCCCACAGAAGTTATTATTTTAACTTAATATGCCATATACAGTAATTTATGAAACACTGGATGAAGCAAACCAGTAAAATTTCTCCAACTCATGATGAGCATTTGGTTTTAAAAGTTTTGTGTTTTTTTAAGACTCAGCAGAAACTAAAGAATAGAAGCCTTTAAAAGTGTTTTCTAGGGGCGCCTGGGTGGCTCAGTCGGTTAAGCGTCCGACTTTGGCTCAGGTCACAATCTCACAGTTCGTGAGTTTGAGCCCCGTGTCGGGCTCTGGGCTGACAGCTCAGAGCCTGGAGCCTGCTTCACATTCTGTGTCTCCCTCTCTCTCTCTGCCCCTTCCCTGCTCATGCTGTGTCTCTGTCTCAAAAATAAATAAACATTAAAAAAAAATTTTTTTAAGTGTTTTCTAAGTCAACTTTTTTTTTCTCCTCATTGTTGGAAATTAGATGGTTTCCTGTCCTCTCCTCATTCCTCCATCCCAACAGTGACATTCAAATTGAAACAATTACTAAAATGAAGAAGGGGACGGGGAATATATAGCATGTAAGTACACTTAGCCTGTGAGGTAATAAGAAGAAATTAAAATATAATTACTGGGTACTAAGCAGGGCACTTGCTGTGATGAATCACTGAATTCTACTCCTGAAACCAATATTGCACTATATGTTAAAACTAAGATTTTTTAAAAAAGGAAAAATAAATTTTGCTACATATGGTGGAAAAAATAAAACATTTTTTCTCAGTAATAAAGTAGGTCCTATAATGAAAAAAATTATAAATAAAATAGCAATATTAAAAAGTTTTATTTTTCGGCACAAACTAAGCCCAACTCAATCAAAGAAATACGACTTTCTATAAAAATTATTTGGGGGGGTGAGAAATTTCTCATCACTATTGTAAAAACCAGAACTAGATGTTTAAAGTTCCCTTCACCTCTAAAATTTTTTGAATCTACAATTATAGAAATATTTTGGAAGCAAAAACTATGAAGTAAAAATAACTCAGGGTGAAGAAAATAGAGTTTAATGTAAAGGAGGCTTTTTTATTTCTTACAATGAAAAATATATGTATTTCTCCTGGAATAGCTTTTAGTCACATATTTCAAGTCTCAAATCCTTTTTTTTAATCTTTATGAAGAAAAGATTAAACTGCTATATAATTTACAGAGGAAACTAAATCATAAAACCTTTTATAAAGAAAGCTTTAAAGAAAGAGGAAATAATGAAAACACTTATTTAAAAACCCATAACAAACAATTTTTAGAGTAATTTAAAAAAACAAGCATTTTTTAAAAATCAAAATTATAACAAAAAAATAATATCAATGTAAGATACCTATGTTTCGCAGAATTTCGACAAGTTTTTCTCTTTTTGAGTACTGGCCAACTTGGAGAATGGTCTGCTGAACATCTCTACATGCTCCACCCACTTGTCCAACAGCAACAAACAAATAATCCGACTTTAAAAACTCCCCAGCCAACCTTCAAAGACAAAAAATTACTCCTTAACTTATCCTCTTCCATTAACACTCACAGTATTCACTGAATTATTCCAAGTGTTATTTAATGTTAATTAGACAGATTATAACAACTATAACAAGGTAAATAACTTACATCATGCAAGTACTAATTCCAAAGATCAGTATAAAACATTAAGATTTTGTAAAATACTAAATAACTTAGTGAAACGTGGCCATGCAAAACTATTTAAAATGTGTATATAACAATAGAAAAGTATGCTAAAGTATCAGACTACAACAAATAGGAACTTTTGTTACAAACTGAAATGCAAGCCTAGGGCAAAAATTCTGTCCTTCACTAATGCTTTTATGTATGTTATTGCTAAAAGTTGTTTTCTGAAAATATTACTTGTTAAACTACTATGCTTTGAACAATTATCAGCAAACCAGACCTTAGGTCAGTGCTTTTCATGTCATGACACATACAAAAAATTGTAGCATTTATACAGCATGTCTGAGCAAAAAAATGAGACAGGAGGTGAAGGGCCTAGAGGCTAGCTCACATCAGGCTGTGTATGGTGACCCCAAACGCTGAGGATATCAGCATGTGGACACACACATAACTCACAGACAGCATACAATTAAGAAGGCCTGCTTTAAATCATCCAGCAACAGAGGAAGAGGAGAAAGGGAACTGGCAAAGAACTGAGTTTTTCTGTGATTAAGGAGGAGGGCCAAATCTATCATCAGTCCTCCTCTGTCCCATTTAGCAGTCCCTACTTCTTAGCTGTCTCATGAAAATCTCATGAGCAAAGCATATCCAGAATCTTAATAAATCATTACTGCTTCTTTCTCTTCACCTGCTGCTACCATAAAAGAAAAAGGAAAGCTTCTTTTTGAAGTCCTTCCTTCAATAATCAAGCACCCTCTCAAGCACAAATCTTAAAACCATCTACAGTTCATTACTTTCCATCATATTTTTTTCATTCACTAAAACATTAATTGTGTGTCTGTGTCAGGCATACATGATACAAGGTACTGGGAATACAAAGATGAATATGATAGTTTCTGCCACTGAGATGCTCACATCAAGTAAGATATAGTTATATAAAAAATAATTACTACATTTTTAAGTATATGACAATTTTTAATATTGCATAATCATATATAAAACATTTTAGTATTTCAGAGAACAAAGTGAGGATTGATGGGGGAGGGGGAGAGGGGAAAATGGGTGATGGGCACTGAGGAGGGCCCTTGTTGGGATAAGCACTGGGTGTTGTATGTAAGTAATTACCCATGAAAATCTACCCCAAAACCAACAGCACACTGTACACACTGTATGTTAGCCAATTTGACAAAATTTGACAGTAAATATTTTTAAAATTTTTTGAAAATTAAAAAAATAAACGTTTTAGCATTTAATATATTTTCATATTCCAGTTTTAACAGTTAACATCTACTAAACATTTACCATATTCAAAAAAATGTGCCAAGTGTTTAAAATGGTTTCTTGACAAATACAATGGCAAGAAATGGATGAAGTGATGTGTATTTCCAAGAGTCTTCAAGTACTGAGCTAGATCTAAGCAGCAGCAAGCAAGAATGTATAATAGTGATGACTAGGGAAAGACATTCTAAGAAGAAAGGAGAAACAAGAAAAACTAATGAGGAAGGATGGAATTTGGCTTGCTCAGCCAACAAGAAATAGTTTTAATAGAAAAGAAATATACAATCCCAGGTAATAAAGTAGCAGAAAAAGCAAAGATTTGATCATATGTACACTTTGAAATCTTGTTAGTCTGTGGAAATGGGAAGACACAGGAGGGCTTATTTTGTTTTTTTAAAAAAATTTTTTTTAACGTTTATTTATTTTTGAGACAGAGAGAGACAGAGCATGAACAGGGTAGGGGCAGAGAGAGAGGGAGACACAGAATCTGAAACAGGCTCCAGGCTCTGAGCTGTCAGCACAGAGCCCGACGCGGGGCTCGAACTCACGGACCGCGAGATCATGACCTGAGCCGAAGTCGGACGCTTAACCGACCAAGCCACCCAGGCGCCCCAGGAGGGCTTATTTTGAATAAATGTCTAAAAAAAACCTAAAACTTTATTTTGGAATTATTACTGACACAAAATTGAGATTAGAGTCAGGGAGGACAGGTTACAAAGCTACTGACAATGAGTAGAGAGAGAAGTGAAAAGGACTTAAATTAAGGTGGGAAACAGAAGAAACTGATTTGAAATATTTTAGAGATAACTGCCAAAATGACTGTTTTTGAAGGGCATAAAGTTAAAAGAATATATTAAAGCAATCAAGATGATTGAAAGGATTTGGGCTTGGAAAGACAACACTGCCAGTAAGGAAAACTGAACAGGAAAGAGGGCATTGAAGAAGAGCTTCCATTTTGGACATAGTGAACTTTACAGGTAATTCATCTAAGAATAAAATACTCCTGAAGAGTTAAATCCTCAAGTCTGGCAATCCGAAGAGAGATTAAGGATACAGGTAATAAATTGGGGACAGTTACAGAAAGAAACATCAGCCAAGGAAATTGATGCTGCAATAGTTCAGTGAATATGTAGAATGATAACACTGGACTTCAGACAGAATAATGGGCAAGGTCCCTCAAGGTGAGGGACTCTACTGTTTACCCTACATACCCAGGACTTATACTCAAATATGGCTCATAAAAAGCCCTCAACAAATATTACTGATGACAGTACACATTAGTCATTCTGGCTAGCCAACATTCAAATACCTTCCTATTTCAGGGTGAATAAAAAAACATATAGGCAGCAGAATATTACCTGCTATTTAGGTAGGTAATTATCTACTTATTATTAATTGCAAAGGTGATAAGGGAAATACAGATACCACCTTTCAAGTTTTAAGACACCAGTTATTATAAGAAACTATTATTTTATGTACCACTAAGAAAGAAAAAATCCTAACTGGTCAAATGCTCTCTTATGATTTAGATTTTTTCCCCCAATAAAGAGCTCGTTGTAACTTTATACAAAGACTTTTTAAATCATCTATTAAGTAAAACAAATCAATAGCCAGCACCACTAACTTGTGGCTTGTGAAGTATTTCATCCCATGTAAGACTCAATCAGACCAGGAGACCCACTTTACAGAAAAATAAGTGACAGAGCAGGCCCATAACCGTAACGTCTACAGGTCATATCACATGACAACAGTGAGATGCTGCCAGGCTACAGAAAGTGGAACATCCACTTAAACAAGTGCTTGGAAGTGTTTCTTTCTGAATATGGCACATGATTCAACAGGGCACGGTAACTTTCAACCAGAAATCCTTATATGGTACATTGGGTCTGAGAGCAAGGCATGCAAAGCAAGAGTAGTCCACTTACCATTGCTCCCTGTGACTCATATTTGAAACTGTGTTTCCTGTCCCACCCACAGCCACAGATTCTGCAGGTGTGGAGGTCTTGGTTCCCAAAGAAAGAAAAGTTCTATCAGAGTAAATACGCAGGAGTCTAACTAAATGACAAGCTAAGAAGTTGCTGTTGAAACACTTCAGGCTCCCTAGAGCCAAGGGATCAGCAAGCAGGAAGAAGAGTTAGAACTCTAGAAGGGACACATCATCTACAAGGGATGTGTTATCCTCATCTCAGAATTCACCAAACCATATACAGTAAGATACTCAATATATGTCAACAGTTGGTATGTGAATTTTCTACAAAAGGCCCAATTTTTGCAAGCTCTACAATTTTGGTTTCAAGACACAAAAAATAACTTCATTGAGTAAGCACTTATTAAATCCTATCTAGGTGCTGTGTACTCACACACACAGACACACACACACACACACACATTTAATAAAATGTTACAAATTTTATAAAGTGTGGCAAAGCCAGGGATAAAGGTTACAAACAATGAAAAATGCAGTTAAGTTTTTAGGAATACATCCACTTCTTAAACTACCTGTGTTACCTTAAATTTTAAAAAAACTCTTAAAAATCATAGAGTCACATTGCTTTTCCTTTCATAAAGCCATTTATGTACATAACAATTATTTTTAAGAAGAAAAAAATTTTACTTTTGAATTTCCTCTGGAAAAGTCGCACTAAACATAAGGGTTTGACGCTGTTCCTTTGATGGCATTCCTGGGCAGGAAATTAACTTCCTCATTTCTGGTCCAAAACCCATATCCAGCATGCGATCAGCTTCATCCAAAACTAAATATTTGACTTGTCTGAGACCAATCTTTCAGGATATTTTCAAGGGTTAGAGCAGAAAATGCATATTAGTCAATATATTAAACTAAAATGTGTCCACAATTCCAACTACTGATTTATTCTTAAGAATGTAAAGTAGAAATCAATGCATAAAATGATGAGAATTGTTTTGGTTCGTAACACTAGTACTGTTTATTTAAATGTTTATTAACAATTCTTGATCTTCACTAACATGTTAGCTACTAGCCTCATACGGCTGTTAAGCACTTGAACTGTGGCTAGTATGCCTAAAGAACACAATTTTTCATTTTATATCCTTTTTAAATGTTTACAGCCACATGTGGCTAACTACCATAGTGGACCTCACAGATCTACATCTTATTATCTGATAAAGTCAGATTCTTAAATGTAAGGAAACATTTCCTAACATCATGACATATTCAAATGTCTTATAACTGGTAAATTTATTTCTAATGCTTTTAACTCTTAATAAATTCTCCATTCTGTAATCACTTGGGAACAACTGAGAAACTTCTCTCACCTTCTTCGCATGAACACTTATCACTACAAAGAGAAACAGACATTTGCAAGAAAAACAAATGAATGTCGCACAACCATGTAAGATGTTAAGTGAGAAATCAAAGTGGATTTCTCTGGGTAGTCTGAATAAGTATCGTATTTTTATGCAGAAAGACCGTATTTTGAGTAACCCCTTTAGAGAAGAGCCTAAAAAAAGCAAAAGAGGTTCATGAACGTGAATTTAAAGCAATGATTTAGTGATTTAATAATGTGGTATGTGAATACCTACACTAAATATATAACTCTAAAATGTCTTTTTAAAGACTTGGAAATTTAATAATCCTGGTTAATATTACTCCTATGCTTCAACAGGAAACAAAATTGCTAGTACACAATTCAGGAAGAAAATATGTCATCATAACTTATATGAAACTATGGGAGCATGTAATGCATTTCTCCCAGTGTAGTGGAGTACAGGATATAGACTCTAGTCAGATCCAGGTTCTAACCCTAGCTCTATCACTAGAGCTAAGTGAGGGATTTTAAATAAACTGCATAATAACACTTACTGCTTTCTCAAACACAAAATAGTAAATACTTTTTATCTCATGTTGGAATTATTTTAAGAATTATGTAATAGTCCATTCAAAGATTCTGATGGGGGCCTAACATATAAAGCGTACTCTAATAAATATATATCCCTCTATATACCATTCTTCCCCTTTCCCATACAAAAAAAAATTATTAATCCACAATTTTGTCATCCCTCGAGAGCCTACCTTTTCTTTACCTATGATATCCATCAGTCTCCCAGGAGTAGCACATAATATATTACAGCCTTGTACTATTTGTCGAATTGAATGACCCAACTGGGTTCCCCCATATATAACAACAGCTCTTACACAGGTCCTATTTACAAGAAAAATAAATGTTATTTTCTAGTTTTGTGAAAATTATACATCTGTTTCTAATAAACTATAAAAACAAATCCATAAAGAAAAAAACTAATACATTCTCATTATCTAAAAAAATTAAATTCTTCCCAAGAAGTTGAAAAAGAAATTAAAAACTATGAAAAAAAATCTGCAATCTATCCAAGCAACAGTTCTTCAAAAACAATGGTAAACACCAATACCACCCACAAAAATATTGACCAAAAACATGAACATGTGGTTCATAAGAAATACAACTGGCTTTTAAACATTTTTTTTAAGGTCAACATTACTTTAAAAAGGAAGACAAATTACGACAAACATAACATTTTCCTTGAAGTGTAATAATACCATGTTAGCCATGGTGTCGGGAAACTGACACTTAATAGGATAAAATAAGACAGGTTCTTTCACAATTAGTCTCTATTAAAATTGTAAAAACTTCTCTCTTGTCCCAATAAATTCACATATATGAATTTACCCTTTAAGTATGTCCCCACAAATGGGCAAAGATGAATTTACATAAATATTCACTGCCAACTATTTAGCATCAAAACAGTAGAAGAGTTATAATTACAGTCCACTCATCCCAAGAGATACTTGTGCATTCCCATAGAAAGGGCAACAGTTCCAGATTAACATTTACCATTAAAAAAAGAGAGTGACAACAGCTTAGTGTACTACCCACTTATTGGAAGAAGGATTAAAGTGCGTATGTGTGCACCAGCTGTTTTTACACTAATTCATGTGAAACTGTTAACAGTGGTTAACTCTGAAGAGGAGAATTAAATAAGTTGGGGGGGAGGGTTGTCAAGAGTGCAGGACAGTTTTATGTTGTAGGGTTTTTTTTAAGTTTACTTATTTAAGTAATCTCTACACACCACATGAGGCTCAAACTCCCAACACTGAGATCAAGAGTTTCATGCTCTACCACTGAGCCACCCAGGTACCCCCAAAATTTTATGTTTATTAAACAAACTCATTGCTTTAAACAGATTCTATTTTCTGCTATTGCTAGGCCTAAATAAAATAACACATTTAATATTTATAACTCAGCAAATGCTAAGTATTCAATAACTTCATTATTACCATTAGTACTCTAAGTGTACTATAACTTAACCAGTCCTTGACTGATAGGTATTTACTTTTCAGTTTTGCCATAACGTTGCAACAAATTTCCAGGTACAAAGATTCAATTTGTGCATGACTATTATCTGAATTTGCCATGCATATGTTTTTGTTTTTAAAATAGTATTTGTTCAAGGGGCACAAAGGAGGAGACTTGTTGGGATGAGTACTGGGTGTTATATGTAGGTGATGAATCACTAGATTCTACTCCTGAAAACATTACTACACTATGTGTTAAATAACTTGGATGTAAATTTTAAAAAATTAATAAAGTTAATAAATAAAATGTTATTTTTTACTACTTGATTTAAGAGCCTAAAAGCAACACAGTACATGGGGATTATCAAGAAAAAACACTGTTATAAGCAATATATATCCACTTTCTTCAGGCTTTAAAGGATTTTTAGTAACTTTAGTTTTTCTTCTCATTTTAAAATAAACTGATTCATAGAAAATAAAATATAACCATTTCTACATAAAAATCTGTATAAAAAAAAAACCCTATAAAAACAAAACTAACACCCCATTAGATAAAGTGGTATACACCAATGTGTAATTAACAAAGGAAAATTTATTAAGCATTCCAAAAGTAGTTTCGCCTTTTAAATAAAAAAGTAAAGATACTTGTCCCTTTCCTCAAATATAGATCCTAACTCCCTTTCCCCTTAAGCGTGTGTGAAGGCTGGCTTCATAGGAGTGCAACCTGTGCAGTCACATAGGGTCCCAAGATAGGAAGAGTCTTTAGCTTCGTTTAATGCTCTGCTATATGCAGTCTTAAAATTCTTAATAATTTCTATTATTTTACTTTTATTTTTTTTAATGTTTATTTATTATTGAGAGACAGAGAGAAACAGAGCATGAGCAGGGGAGGGGCAGAGACAGGAGGAGACACAGAATCCGAAGCAGGTATCAGGCTCTGAGCTGTCAGCACAGAGGCCGATGCGGGGCTTGAACTCACAAACCGTGAGATCATGACCTGAGCCGAAGTCAGATGCTTTACAGACTGAGCCACTCAGGCGCTCCCATTTCTATTATTTTAGAGACAGAGAGTACATGCAGGGGAGAGGGGCAAAGGGACAGAGAGAGAACCCCAAGCAGGCTCCACACTTAACGTGGAGCCCAATGTAGAGCTCAATCCCATGACCCTGGGATCATGACCCGAGTGAAAATCAAGAGTCAGAAAGCAGCTCAAACCGAATGAGCCACCCAAGTGACCCCATAATAATTATTGAAAAAAGGACCCTGCATTTCCATTTTGCACTGTTCAAGCAAATGACATGGCAGTCCTGGGGTACGGGGTAGACTTATAACTTGCTGAGTGATGAACACAATATGGCAGAAGTGACTCAGACTATTTTATACGAGACATTGTAGCCTCCTCCTTGCTCTTCCTCATTCATTGTCTAAGCAAGCCAGTTGTCATTTCCTAAGGACGATCAAGCATCCTTATGGGACAGGTATAAACAAGTCTTCAGAAAACTACAATTCTGGCTGGTATCTTGTCTGCAATCTCCTACTCCTGAGAGAGACCTCAAGCAAGAAGCACTCACCTAAACTCTTCCCCAACTCTTAATCCCCAGAAACTATTACACAGTATTTATCATTTTAAGCAACTATGTTTTAGGTAATTTGTTAGGAACAGATAATACCAAATGTTGGCAAAGTGTAGAGTGAACTGGCGTTCTCATACACTGCTAACAGAACTATCGGTACTGGCTTGAAGTTCATACCCTTTAACATTAAACTTATAAAAACCTACTTTAAGGAAAACTTAAAACATAAAAATAGAAAAAGTTTATTTAGCAATCTGCTCATTATGATTTTATTTATAGTAGTCCCAAACTAGAAACAACTGAAATGTGCCAAAATACAGAAATAAGATACAATCTGAAAATGATTAAAAATTAAGTCTAATTATGAAATAAGCATCTTTTATATTATTAAATTATATTAAACAGTTTATTAAGAACACCCTAAGTGCATTAAACATGCACTAAAAACTACTAGAAAATATACCACCAATGTTTATTATGTATCTATTATCATCTGATTTGTAAGCATGCTTCTCTAAAAAATTTTTTTAATCTTTATTTTAGAGAGAGAGAGAGAGAGAGAGAGCACGCACATGCACGTGAGTGTGGGAGAGGCAGTGAGAGAGGGAGACACAGAATCCAAAGCAGGCTCCAGGCTCCCAGCTTTCAGCACAGAGCCTGATGCGGGGCTTGAACTCACGAATCGAGATATCCTGACCTGAGTGGAAGTCAGATGCTTAATTGACTGAGCCACTCAGGCGCCCCATGTTTCTTTTAAAAATAAAAATGAACTGGGATTCCAGGGCTCCCCATGTTTCTTTTAAAAATAAAAAAAAAACCTGGGATTCCAGGGTGCCTGGGTGGCTCAGCAGCAAGGAATACCACAGAAAATGGTGGAAGAAAGCAGAATAAAAATAAAGCTCTGACTTTAAAAAAAAAAAAAAAAAAGCAAGATTCAATCCATATGGAAAAAATAAGTTCTCCACTTGCAGAATTTGTAAAAGTTCTGTGCACCAGCCAGGTGCTCATTACTGCTAGGGCTATGCCTACAAAAAGGCCATCTGTGCAATGTGTGGAAAAAAGGTTTTGGATATCAAAAACTACAAGCAAACATCTGTGTAGACGTGTCAATGACATTTCTGGCTTTTCGATTTTATTTTTTGCTTTGAATTTCCAAGGCATAACACAGATATTCAAGTTAAAAATAACACGTTTTAAAACAATTAAAATCAAACCATTGATTAGTTGACTAGGATTCTTTTTGCTTTCAAGAAGTTCTTAACAACAGTGTAACTCGTATTCTGCCTTAGTTCTTTTCCTCACAAGCTTGTTGAACTAGCATAATTGGCCAACTTAATGAAAAATACTTTCTCAGTTCTGTATACACTTTTTATTTGTCATATTCATATAAGTCTTATCCTCACCCTCTACTTTATATATATCAGAGAACTGAGAAGGATATTACGACTGATATTTTGCTCTGAACATGAGACTTCTAACTCTTCCCTTATTCCCTTCTTGCTTGCATGGTTCTTAGAATGAGCAGTCTCTTTGTTAATTGTAGGTTCACAGGGCATTGAAGTATCCAAGACCACTATTGCTGAATTATTTGTTCTTGATGCCAAAGTGCCAGTCCCTTTCCTACAAAAATACAGAGTCAGCCCATGTCTGTCCAAATGAACACACTGAATTTCAGAAAAATACAGGTTATGCACATTACCTTGAATTCAAACGGTCATGAAAGCCAAAACAACAGTGTTCATCCATGGTAATGTGTAACAAATGAGTTACTACTCTTTAGGAAGTCTCCTTGAAACAAAAACCAAATTTTTCTTTTTTACCTTCCCTCCCTACCCCCCAAAAATAAATAGAACAAAACCAAAATAAATAGGTAAAACAAAACAAAACAACTTGGGGGCGCCTGGGTAGCCAGTCAATTAAGTGTCCGACTTCAGCTTAGGTCATGATCTCACGGTCCATGGGTTCAAGTCCTACATTGGGCTCTGCACTGACAGCTCAGAGCCTGAAGCCTGCTTCAGATTCTGTCTCCCTCTCTCTCTGCCCCTCCCTGGCTCACACTCTGTATCTCTCTCTGTCTCAAAAAAAAAATTGAAAAAAATTTTTAAATAAACTGGGATTCCATAAAGATTATATAAAAAAGCACATTTCAATCAAGTAATACTAATTACATGGCTGCACTGAGTTCTTCTGAGAACTCCACTGAGACTTTAAGAAAAATCTCTAAAGAAAACCTTGTTTTGAATGGCATTCCAGGGTCCCTGGGGGGCTCAGTCTCTTCTTGATTTCGGCTCAGGCTGTGATCTCATGGTTGTGAGATCAAGCCCCACACTGGGCTCTGTGCTGAGCATGGAGCCTGCTTCAGATTCTCTCTCTCCCTCTCTCACTGCCCTCCCGCCCTCAAAATAAATAAATACACATTAAAAAAAAAAATGGATGGCATTCCAGATGTACATACCCAAAAGAAAATTTTCGGGCTTCCAAATAGATCTGATTGATCAACTCTCGAGTTGGTGCTACAATAATACACTCTGGTTCCTGCAGATCTTTGAAACGACTGGCTGTTATTCCATCACGCATCATATGTGCCAAAATTGGCAAGAGAAAAGCTGCCTAAAAGTTAAATTACATAGTATACGAATTTATAATACATCATCCTTCTCCCTGTAGAAATAAATCTATTCCTTATTTCCTTACAGTCTCTAGATTCTTCCTCCATCTTGCTGGTAAATTTAAGATGACAGAAGAAAACAGTTTTAGTTCAGTGAGGTTTTATCACCTCAATCTTTATGCTCATATTACACAATATAAAATTTTGGATATTTTTCAGTTTTTTAAAAAGCACACCCATTGATTCTAAATAAATTAACATTAACTTATTTATAGAGGGGAATGTACATATAACTTGATGTAAATCACTGCATTTAGCAATTATTCTAAATCTGTCCTTTTGGAGTAGTGATAAAATTATCACTCCGAAATCATGACAAAAGTGTTACACAGAGCAAAAATTGGGAAATCATTCATTTGGATTACTCACCCTTACTGAAGTTAATGGGGCAAAAGAAATGTTTTGTAATAGTTTTCTCATTAAGATACCAAAATCTACCTCCAAAGTAAGGTTTAAGTAACACATCAGCTGCTATATTATATAACTCACTTATTATCCCCTCAACTCTACTATGGAGGCTGATTAAGGTTAAAACAGCATGAACCAAAATTGCATGATTCAGAAAGCATAGTCTTTAAGACTCATCTCACGGAACCCTATTTAACAGACAGATCCCAGAGGTAAGTCTTAAGACCAGCCCGATCTCATCCGAGTTCTTTTGGATAGCATAACCTGAGGTTATATTTATAACCTCTAGTGCTTTGACCCTCTATCATTTTATTTCAGATATTAACATGTGCCAGAAGGAGTTGAGCACTCTTAAAAAAATGAATTAAACATTCATTTTGCTTCATTCAGAAGTAAAAAACATGAGTATTTATGACAGTTCATTGAAATTATCGATCTACCATTCAACCGAAAAGATTCAAACTACTTGAAAAAAAAATTAGGGGCGCCTGGGTGGCGCAGTCGGTTAAGCGTCCGACTTCAGCCAGGTCACGATCTCGCGGTCCGTGAGTTCGAGCCCCGCGTCAGGCTCTGGGCTGATGGCTCAGAGCCTGGAGCCTGTTTCCGATTCTGTGTCTCCCTCTCTCTCCCCCCTCCCCCATTCATGCTCTGTCTCTCTCTGTCCCAGAAATAAATAAATAAACGTTGAAAAAAAAAAAAAATTTAAAAAAAAAGAAAAAAAAAAAAAAA